ATATATATATATATATATATATATATATATATATATATATATATATATATATATAGATGAGAATTTTTTATTACAATTTTTAATTATAATAATTATTATTACTTGGGATGTTTGCATCTTAGCTTCTTAATGCATTCGGGTCAGTTTTGAATCATACAAATGTCCTAAAAATGCATGTTTGTTAATGAACATTTTTTTTTAATGGAGGTTAATGTTGATGTGTTTATATGCTCTGTTTTTTTTGTTTGTTTGTTTGGTTGTTAATTTTTATTTTTCAATTATTGTTATTCAAATGTATATTTTTATTTACATTTTTTAACTATAATTATTATTTATTAACATTCATTCATTAATTTTCCTTTAGCCATATTCCTTATTTATTAGAAGTCGCCAGAGCGGAATGAACCGCCAACTAGAGGTCTGCATTCCCGCAGGAGCCACGGGACCCAGCCAGATTTCTACTGGGTGGAAATAAATTTCCGAATAAAGCGCGGGAGCGGTCGTTAATGGGTTTAATTTGGGAGGGAAGAGTGTTGTCTAGCAATACCCCTTCCGACTCCCGAGCGAGCGAGCACGCATATGTGGTTATATGTGTGAATGAAACAGCGCGATGCTGTGTTTAGCTTGTTTGTTGCTGTGTGTGTGTTTATGTGTGTTTGCGCGCACGCAAATGAGAGGTGTGAAATGGTTCAGGTCAGTTTTGACTACAAATGTCCTAAAAATGCATGTATGCGAATGAAAAAAAAAAATGAATGGAGGTTAATGTTGATGTGTTTATATGCTACGTTTGTATTTTGTGCTTTCCAACTATTATTATTTTTTAAATGTAGATATTTCTATAATTAAAATTATTATTTTAAAATTATTATCATAAAGGCTGCACGGTGGCGCAGTGGGTAGCATGTTCGCTTCACAGCAAGAAGGTCGCTGGTTCAAGCCTCGGCTGGGTAAGTGGGCATTTCTGTGTGGAGTTTGCATGTACTCCCTGCTAAAAGACATGTGGTACAGGTGAATTGGGTAGGCTAAATTGTCTGTAGTGAGAAGTGTGAATGAGTGTGCATGGATGTTTCCCAGTCATGGGTTGCAGCTGGAAGGGCATCCGCTGCATAAAAGATATGCTGGATAAGTTGGTGGTTCATTGCGCTGTGGCGACCCCAGATTAATAAAAGGACTAAGCCGAAAAGAAAATGAATGAATGAATGAATGAATATTATAATAAAAAATGTATTCCAATACCTATCTTAGTGAATGGACAGTGTGTACACTACTTCTGTTAATAAGAGTTGGAGGATTGTTAAATATGGCATACATTTGAAAATTCGATACTGAATGAATACAAATACTTTGTGATTGCTTTAAGCCTCTTAAAACACATTTATTTTTCTCAGATTATTATTATTATTATTAGTAGTAGTAGTAGTATTTATAGTTATTGTTCTAAGAGTTACAAGCTTTTACAAGCTTTTACTAATACTTTCCTTCTTAGACTTTACAGACCTGAAACTTAAGTTAGTGCCTACAGCACTTATTCATTGTTGCTCTAATAGTTGTGTAAATTGCTTCCTTGTCCTCATTTGTAAGTCGCTTTGGATAAAAGCGTCAGCTAAATGACTAAATGTGAATGTAAATGTAAAAATGTTTTGCACATTTTGTGTTCTGGTCAAAATGCTTGTAAAAAAATCTAATAAAGTGTCAAATAACTTTTGTAAAATGCATATAGTTTTTCCCACATTTCTTGACCACTTTTGGGGTTGATTTATGCTGTTTCAATGATCACTAAATAACATTGATAACCTAAAAGTACAAATTTATGCAAAAAAATGATAATAATTGTTTTTATATAAACAAATATTTACAAGTTTCTTCGATTCATTTGTGTTTTAAAATTAAATAGATTTAATCACATTCTCAGACCAGATGTTATTGATAAATTACTCCATCATTTGTGTGCTTCATGTTTCACTTTTTAAAAAAATCATATTTTTCTATTTAAAAAGCAGGTAAATGCAACAAGCAATTTCATATACATTTAATTATCACACATTCATTCAATCCCTTATTAATTTATTTATTGTACCCTTTTATAATAATTTATTTATTCTAAACATTCTTTGATCATTTAATATCACAAATAAAATATTAAATCATAAGACTCTCACCTTATGAGAATCCAAAATGATAATATTATACTACACTGTATAAAAACGCAGGGTTATTTCAGCCCAAATCTGAGTGTGGGGACTTATTCAACTGGGTTAAAAAAAATTTTTATTAAACTAATAGGACCAAATTTAACCCAATGTTTGGAATAGTCAATAATTCACCCAATTTGGGTTTCAATAATTCAGCATTTCTTACTTAATAAATTTAAAGCAGGCATTCCTTCTGTAAGTCTGTTCCTCCCATGACCTTTGACCTTTAGCAGGGGTTCCTGAAGGTTATTTTAGGGACCAGAAGGGAAGTCACACAAGATCTGCTTGATTTGTTCTCGCTCAGTGAAAACAAGTCAGTGATTTGGCAAAGCAACAGATGATGAAGTTGCGTCAATGCTTCTGCCATCATTTCTGAGAACTGTCAAACTACATACCAGCAAATGCTACGATTTAACGGTCTCATCACAGACTCCATAAATGTGAATTTGTTTCTACAAGTATACATTTTAGATAGAGCTAGTAGTTTCAATTTTTACTACACCCTAAATAGGAAAATGCTGTCAACAACCATTATTTTTGGAAAAGTTATATAAATTATGTGAATGGCATATGAAGAAACACCCTTTAAAATCCTGAGGAATATAGACACCTTTACCTTTAGTCATTTATAGATATAAATATAGATATAAAAATAAAACAAAACTCAAAAATGTAGTGTATGTGCGTTCTGTTGATTTTATAGCTCAGTGCAGGAGTATACAACATTAAACTCTGCGGAAACAGCCTTAAAGATATAGTTCACCCAATAATAAAACACATATCATCTCACCTTTTACTTGTTTCAAACCTTTTTATTTTCTTTCTTCTGTAAAACACAAAGGAAGATAGTTTGAAGAAAGCTAGAAAATTGAGGTAAAGTTGGTTTCATATGCACACATTCAGACTTTCTCCTGAATAATATAATTTCAGACAGGTATGATTTGCAAATTCTAAATAGTGAAATCATATAAGCAGTCAATGAATATCAAAGTACAGTAGTGTTTACAGTTAATTAAATTGTGCCATTGTTGTTTTCAAGTCATATTCACATGTGATTTCAGACCCTATATTCAAATTAGCGTGGTAAATAATATAAGAAACGCTAATTAAAGGAATGTGCAAATATGAAACCAACTTTACCTCAATAGATGGAAACCTGTAACCACTGACACCCATAGTATGTTTTTTCCTACTATGGAAGTCAATGGTTACCGGTTTTCAGCATTCTTCAAAATATCTTCTTTTGTGTTCAACAGAATAAAGAGCTCATAAAGGTTTGGAAACACTTGGAGGAAGGTAAATAGTGCGTAAATTTACATTTGCTTGCGTGAACTATCATTTTAAGGATGCATACTGTAAATTAAACCACATAAACAGATAAAAGGTAATAAAGTTAACACTTAAATGTGCATTTTAGGGTGTTTTCTGTCCACTAGTCTCAATGAAGATGCACTGATGCAAAATAGCTAATAAAATCCTAATAACTTGACCTGTACATGAAATAAACAATGATTTTGTATGCAGTGTCGTTCCTTTAACCTCGCAGATACCAGTCTGACTGTATAAAACCAAGTTATGTCAATGCTTCTGCCATCATTTCTGAGATCTGTCAAACTACATGCAAACTAATGCTACAATTTGACAGCCTCATCACATGAATGTGAATTTATTTCTACAAGTATAAATTTTAGATAAAGTTAGTCGTTTACTTTTTACTTGTATCTGTTTATTACTCCCTAAATAGGAAAATACTGTCAACAACAAGCATTATTATTGGAAAAGTTACATGAATTATGTGAATGGCATATGAAGAAACACCCTCTAAAATCCAGAAGAATATAGATACCTTTACCTTTAGTCATTTATAGATATAAATAAAGATATAAAAATAAAATTACACTCAAAAATCTAGTGTATGTGTGTTCAGTTGATTTTATAGCTCGGTCTAGGAGCAAAAAAAACATTAAACTTTGCGGAAACAGCCTTAAAGATATAGTTCACGCAATAATATAACATACATCATCTCACCTTTTACTTGCTTCAAACTTTTTTACGCTCTTTCTTCTGTAAAACACAAAAGAAGAAAGTTTGAAGAAAGCTGGTACCTGTGACCATTGACATCTATGGTATTTGTTTTGGAACTATGAAAGTCAATGGTTACCGGTTATCAGCATTCTTCAAAATATCTTCTTTCGTGTTTAACAGAATAAAGAGCTCATAAAGGTTTTGAAACACTTAAAGGAAGTTAAATAGTGCGTAAATTTACATTTGCTTGCTTGAACTATCATTTTAAGGATGCATACTGTAAATTAAACCACATAAACAGATAAAAGCTATTAAAATAAACACTTAAATGTTTATTTTTGAGGAGTTTTCTGTCCACTAGTCTCAATGAAGACATGTTACAGATGCAAAATAGCCATTAAATCATAAAAACTTGACCTGTACATGAAATACACAATGACTTTGTATGCAGTGTCGTTCTTTTAACCTTGCACATACCAGTAAGACAGTATAAAACCAATTAAACACATCTTTTTAGCTTTGAAACCGTTAGTAAGTGAAGCAAACACCATCAGCAACAGGTGAAAATGAAATTATCGATAACATTGAACATCCTTCCCGTCATTTTATCAGTTATAAACGATACAATTACGCGTATAGCATATGACGCGTGTGATAACGTTACTGATACTTGAACTAACGTTAGTGATGACAGCTGCTGTTCAGCTAAGCTAAAACAAAACGGTCAACACACTCAATTTACTCCCTCCGGAGCTCTCACAAATGACATATTTTAAAGCTTACCTTTTTCTTTAAACGTCTCGGAGTCCGTTGGTCACAATAATTTGCTGGTAAACATTATATTTGAGCTAAATTTGTCTGGGTCTGTTATCAGTGCGTCAGGCCGAGAGGAGTGACTGACAGCCGCGAGCGCACATTCTAACACACACGCCGACAGCCAATTAGAATGCGGGACGGCCGTGGCGCGTGGATTTACCGTAAAGCGCTAAAATCATGCGCAGTGAACAAACGACCACAGAAGCGGAAGGAAAGTGCTGTGATTACCGTAAAGATCGTAAGAAGTCAGAGTTGAGTTGCTAGATGGATAAAGACAGACTCAAATAGGGAGGTGTTGTATTTTAGTCTTTTAGTGTAGCCTATTATTAATCAAGTTTACAACAACAACAACAATAATAATAGTAATCATAATAATAAAAAGATAATAATACATTTAACTATGTGTACTTAGATTGAAAACGTATATTTATAATTATTATTATTATAATTATTATTATTATTATTATTATTATTATTATTAATTTAAATTTTTTATTACTATTATTATTATTATTATTATCATCATCATTATTATAATTTTTAAATTTTTTTATTACTATTATTATTATTATTATTATTATTATTATTATTATTATTATTATTATTATACATTATATAAAAACCTAAATAAATAAATAAATGGACAAGAATAAATAAACATGCAAGAAAATTATGTTATAAATAATAATAAAAATGATAACAATAATAACAATAACAACAACAAAATAATAATATAATAATAACAAATTTTTTAATTGTCAATCTGATAACACATGGATTAAATTTATTAATATTCATTCGTTCATTCATTAATTTACTTTTAGGCTCAGTCCCTTTGTATTATTATTATCATTATTGTTATTATTATGTATTTATTTATTCATATTTTTACATAATGATATCAATAATAATAATAATGACAATACTGTACAGTACTCAGAATGAAAATACTGCTTTTATTATTATTATCGTCATCATTATTATTATTATCAATAACCACATTTGCTTACATTTATTATTATTGGTAATTAATTAATTTAGATTTTTCATAATAATAATAATAATAATAATAATAATAATAATAATAATAATAATAATAATAATAATAATAATAATAATAATGCAGGTGTACTCAGATTGGAAATAAAACATTATTTTCATTATTTACCACATCAACATTTTTTTACATATTTGTTTATTCTTGGTCATTTATTTAGGTGTTTATATAATAATAATAGTAATAAAAATATAATAATAATAATAATAATGATAATAATAATGATAATAATAACAATAATACATTTTACCCACATCTGTTCAAGTTGAAGATTAAATAGTACTGTTATTATCTTAATTATTATTATTAATATTATTATTATTTATTTATTTATTATTTTTTTTATTATAAACAATGTCAACATTTGTATGCATACATTTATTCTTGGTCATTTATTTGTTTATTTATTAATTCATTCATTAATTTAGATTTTTATATAATAATAATAATAATAATAATAATAATCATAATAATCATAATAATAATAATACATTAAATTCATGTGTACTCGGATTGAAAATCAAAAAGTACTCTTCTCTATCATCATCATTTGTTTTATATATTCATTTATTCTTCGTTATTTATTTATTTTTATAGAATGTATAATAACAATATTAACAAGGACAGAACTTTTGGATTTTCAATCTGAGTACACATGGATTCAATGTATTATTATTATTATTATTATTATTATTATTATTATTTTATTTTTTTATTGTTGTTGTTGTTATTTTATTATTATTATTATTGTCATATTAAAATCTAAATGAATGAACGAATAAATAAATAAATAAATGAGTAAATAAAAACGCATTCAAATATTGATGTTGTTTATTGATGTTGATGTTGTTTATTATTATCATTGTCATTAATGACGACAACAAAAACAAAACAACATTGGTGTTGGTATCTATTCGTTATAATTAATTTATTCCTATTCCTTTAGATTGTCATTTAAACTTAATGTCTAAGTTTAATATTGTGCCTATGTAATTTCATCAGTGAGTTGGGTGATCACACGTCCAAATTAAAAACTGACAGACAGACATTCTGAGATAAATGAATGTCTGCTTATTTTCATGAACGTCAATGGGTTTTCAGCAAGGATTTCACAAACTGCGCATGTCTGGTCCCTCTGTGACCGGAAGAGGTCGCTGTAGGTTGACTTTCTAGACTTGCATAACTTAACAATAACTATACCAGGCCAAACTAGCTGAGAATGCACACTGGTTTTAAAATCTTAAATGCATTTTTACTAGTAAGAATTAAATAACAGAGCTGTCTAATTAAAATATTTACTGGTAAGACATTAATTAGGCCTTATTAAAGAACTTTTGCATTAATAAAAAAAAAATCCTGGTATGAGAAAAGAAGTCAGTATAACTAAAAACATCTTGTTATTATGAGAAAATATGCTTTTTAATAAAATAATTTCCAACATTTAATTGAAAACATTATTATGAAATAACGGAGTAGAAAAAACATGCGTGTGGCAGCAAGGCATCACCATTTATTTCATATTCTGCATTAATTTTATAATTTTTTCATGTGTCCTCTCTCTATTGTTATTATTAATTTTTATTTGCTGTTTCTTTTTCATTTTGTGCAATATCATTGACAAACTTCTTTAAAATCATCATACCTTCCTTGTTGCAAAAATTAATCTCTGCATTGTTTGTACTATACTGTTGTCTGTTGTTTGTACAACAATAATTGCATTAAAAAAAAGCATTGAGTCACCATAGCAAAGGATCACATCCCGCAACCTACACTTACTAGCACTGGGTTGGACCTTCTTTTGCCTTCAGAACTGCCTTAATCTTTCATGGCAGAGATTCAACAAGCTACAGGAAAAATTCCTCAGAGATTTTGCTCCATATTGACATGAGAGCATCACGCAGTTGCTGCAGATTTGTCAGCTGCGAATCTCCCATTCCACCACATCCCAATGGTGCTATATTGGATTGAGATCTGGTGACTGTGGAGGCCATTTGAGTACAGTGAACTCATTGTCATGTTCATAAAACCAGTCTGAGATGATTCACGCTTTATGACATGGTGCGTTATCCTGCTGGAAGTAAACTTCAGAAGATGGGCACACTGTGGTCATAAAAAGGATGGACATGGTCAGCAACAATACTCAGGTAGGCTGTGGCGTTGACACAATGCTCAATTAGTACTAATGGACACGAAATGTGCCAAGAAAATATCCCCCACACCATCACACCACCACCACCAGCCTGAACCGTTGATACAAGGCAGGATAGATCCATGCTTTCAGGTTGTTGTTGCCAAATTCTGACCCGACCATCAAAATGTGGCAGCAGAAATGGAGACTCATCAGACCAGGCAACGCTTTTCCAATCTTCTATTGTCTAATTTTGGTGAGTCTGTGTGAATTGTAGCCTCAGTTTCCTGTTCTTAGCTGACAGGAGTGGCACCCGGTGTGCTCTTCTGCTGCTGTAGCCCATCCGCCTCAAGGTTGGACGTGTTGTGTGTTCAGAGATGCTCTTCTGCAGACCTCGGTTGTATCGAGTGCTTATTTGAGTTACTGTTGCCTTTATATTAGCTGGAACCAGTCTGGCCATTCTCCTCTGACCTCTGGCATCAGCAAGGCATTTGCGCCCACAGAACTGCCGCTCTCTGGATATTTTCTCTTTATCAGACCATTCTCTGTAGGTCCTAGAGATGGTTGTGCGTGAACATCCCAGTAGATCAGCAGTTTCTGAAATACTCAGCCTGTCTGGCACTGACAAACAAGCCACGTTCAAAGTTACTTTAATCACCTTTCTCCTCCATTCTGATGCTCGGTTTAAACTACAGCAGATCGTCTTGACCATAGCTGCGTCCCAAATCGCATACTTATGCACTATTCTACGCCATTTTGTAGTATAAATAGTGTAATAGTGTGTTCACACTGAAAACTCTTAAAATAATAAGTGCACTTTAATAACCCGGATGATGCACTCATTCAGCCGCTAAAATGAAGTGTGGAATGATGGACACTTCACGCACTCAACGACCGCAGGTTTGCTTACGTAGCGGAAGGGGCGGAGCTATCGGACGCACATGTTGGATAACTTTATTTATTTTGGATGGAGAAAGCAAAATTCTCCTACGAGAGTGATTATAGCGCCTCCTGATGGTGAATGCGGCAATACTCACGATAGGTATTATTTGATAATTCGGTCGTTTATTTCACTGATTTGGCAACCGTCAAACGTCATCAGGGAAACGATTTGAATTTCCGTTTAGTATAAAAACATTAGTGTGCCATTTGGGACAACACTACATACATGTACTATCCTGTTGAGTGTGTAAGTGCATAAGTACATAGTGCATGAGTGCATAGTGTATAGTGTGCCATTTGGGACGCAGCTCATGTCTACATGCATTGAGTTGCTGCCATGTGATTGGCTGATTAGAAATTTGCGCTAACAAGCAGTTGAACAGCTGTACCTAATAAAGTGGCCGGTGAGTGTATATAGTCCCCCGACAAGTACTCAAAGCAGTTTCTGCATAATTAAAGAGTCGCACCAATATTTCACCTCAGCTTCTCCTCCTAGTTTGTGCCACTTTTGAATGTTTGCGTAAATACTCAGTCAATAATGCAGTCCACTCTCGCTCTGCCCAATTATAACCAGTTTCGCCTTTACACTTTGTTTTCCCTGTGCCCCATTTTTCCATGCTAATCGAACGCTTTCACCTTCAGATTGATCTGCTCTCTTATGCCTGCATTATATAATCTACCATTATGTGAAGAAACTGGACTTTGAAATTGCTGGGAGAGGCAATTCAGACTCCACCTGTGAAGGATTAAAGTAACAGACGTCTACTTTCATCTCTTAATAACACATGTTGACTTGCAGTGCTTATGACTTAAATATCAATTCCTCATATTAAGAAACGAAACTAAGCCTTTTCCATCTTAATGACTCGTCTGCTATTTCTGACCTTTGCTTCACAGCAATTTTAGGTCATCGTCAGATCTGTGTTTTCATGGATGCTAATCACTGTAAACAAATTATTGTAAACACTGAATCATGGCTCAGTGGGTAGCACTGTCGCCTCACAGCAAGAAGGTCGCTGGTTTGAGCCACGGCTGGGTCAGTTGGCATTTCTGTGTGGAGTTTGCATGTTCTCCCTGTTTGGCGTGGGTTTCCTCTGGGTGCTCCGGTTTCCCCCACAGTCCAAACACATGTGCTATGGGTGAACTGAATAAGCTAAATTGGCCGTAGTGTGTGTGTGTGTATGTGAATGAGTGTATGGGTGTTTCCCAGTGCTGGGGTTGCAGCTGGAAGGGCATCCGTTGTGTAAAACATATGCTGGATAAGTTGGCGGTTTATGCCCCAGTGGCATCCTCTGATGAATAGGGACTAAGCCGAATGCATCACGCTATCACAGCATGTATCAGGACTTTTCAGACTGCCTATATCCTCGATGTGAAGGAAAGAAAATGAGAGATGTTATTATTATTAAGCATCCTTTATTTCATGTGTGACATGAATAACACATATTAAATAAACATTGTTGGTTTTCTACCAAAATAAACACAAATCCTAAGAATATGATGTCATTCGTTAATAAATAGGTACAAACAATAAATATATTGTTACAGTTAGGATCTAATGTAGTGTTTTTATGTGCAATAAACCCGTCCATCAGTGACTTCTGCCTGAAACAAAATCAAAATGAGCATGAGTACCTACACTTTACCACACAGATATGATTTCAAGAGTTCACACTTAGCTGATGATTGATTATGAAGCTTGTTTGGCATGCTGTCCCAGGAGAGAGCCCTGAGCTCATAAGATCCTCGAGCCTGGGGCTCCCTCTCGTTTGCAAGGCGAGAGGGGAGTTTGAGCTCAGGTAGATCTCGAGAACTCCCCTGCTGTAGTAGCTAATAAACAGAGAGTGATTGCTCTTAAAAGAGAACTACTAGGAGCATGTCTATGGTGCTGATTTGGATTAGTCAATTAACTTAAGTTGCATGTTTTGGGATGTGGGAGGAAACCAGGGAACCCGGGGAAAACCCACGTGAGCACGGGGAGAATGTGTAAACTCCGCACAGAAACGTCGGCTGGCTTGGTCAGGACTATAACCAGTGACGTTTTTGCTGTGAGGGAACAGTGCTAACAACTGGGCCACCGTGCTACCCATCTAGGGAAGGAGGAGTAAGGGTGGAAGGGGGGGTTTTCAAAGCAAAGATGGCTGTCAAATGGAACTTAGGGTATTTATAGTGGGTTAGGAATCATCTGATTGGTGAATCATAAATTGGATAATGCATGGTCAATCATGAGCAAGTGATCCTCTTGAAATTAGTTTGTAAATAAACCTCACCTAATACATATCATGCATTAAACACAATGAGTTAAAGGAGGTTTTCATGCTATCACACTAAAGTCCAGGTTCATATCTAGAGACTGGAATATAATTTAACATTGTAAATTTGAGTTTAAGGGTGTGTTCACATTTGTAGATCGGTAAAAGAAGAGAAGCTGACTACATCTACATGGACACACAAGTAATCGAATTATTTTCTGTAATCTGAATTAGACAATATTATGATGGTGTTTACATGAGCTACATAATCCATAATCCCGTTTTACATACCGTTATAGCTTATAATTCGATTAACATCACCACGCCATCAAAATTTAGTTTCATGTAATTTCGGGTGTGTCATATTTAATTTGTTGACTTTAACTGCAGTTTGGCCCTTTCATTTTCATTCAGGAACTTTTCATGCATGCCCCCCGTGACAATCGAGATATTAGATGCGAGTATGAACTGTTGGAAGAGTGTTGCTTTAATGGAGTTCGATACCGCACATCACTTACGGAAATAACCCTCCACATTTCGTGATGTGCGTGTCTCACAAGCTTCGAATGTTATCACTCAATTGAATGGCCAATTGAATGACTCAATTATCAGCTGATAGATATGGGCCAGTAGGGGCCTTCTGTGCCTACTGGTAGGCTCAGAAGGCAGTGATCATCCATCCACATGGTTATTCAGCTATACTAATAGAAAAGACCCCAGATCCAGATCTGTTTCTACATTACTGTGATGGTTGGGTTTAGAGTTGGGGTACACGTTAATAAAATATAATTAATGGGAAATTTAATAAATAATATAAATAATTCTTATTAACTTCCAGCCGCAGCCGTATGTGATCTATAGCTGTTTAACCATGTGGATGGATGATAACAGCCTTCTGAGCCAACTAACAGCGCAGAAGGCCCCTACTGGCCCATATCTATTAGCTGATAACCACTGATAACGCCCATTTAGTCGAGTGATAACATTCGAATCGGCTGGGTATCTGTGGTCCTTCACTGACTCGGTAGGTGCAGTAGTGTCAAACAGCCATGTGTATATGGACTATCCTGTTGCAAAATGCTTTGAAATTCCTACATGACGGTAATAGTTTGATTTCGATGTTTATATGTCTGTACTGCACTTCAGTATTGCCACTAATATCAGCATCCTGCACATGTCTTAATCCGATTTCTCTTTAGTGGGATTATGACCTTAATCGGATTAGATTAATTAAAAATCCCTGTTTACTTGGTCGACTCTTAATCAGAGTATTGTCCTAATCTTATTAAAATCGGATTATTGTGTCCATGTAAACGTACTCAGTGACTACGTTTACATGGACACCAATAGTTTAATCAGATTAAGGTCACAATCGAACTAGAGAGCAATGGAATTAAGACGTGTGGAGTACGCCATTTTAGTCGCATTATTAAAGTGCATTACAGACATGTAAACGCCTTAATCGAAGTATTACTGTCATGTAGGACTTTTCGCCACGTTTTGCGACAGGATAGTTCACACGCGCACACACACACACACACACACACACACACACACACACACACACACGTTTTTTTTTTTACTTCCATTCAGCATGCGGTATGAACGTCCATTAAAACAACACTGTTCCAGTAGTTCATAGTTGCATCCAATATCTCGTTTGTAATGGGGGTGGGGTTATGCCTGAATGAAAGTGAAAGTGCCAAACCTCAGTTACAGTTGACAAATTAATAATGAAACACCCGAAATTACATGAAACTTCGTAGGAAATGCGGCGGATAGATTAACGTCTTTGCGTCACCGCGCTAAGTAAACATGTAAAACGCGATCATGAAAGAAACATTCAGAAAGCAACTAATAAACACCTTAATCTTATTATTGTCTTAATTAGATTAAGGCAAATAATTAGATTACTGATGTCCTTGTAAACGTAGTCATGACACAATTGGTCCTGGTTTACACTTTCATTTTAAAGGGCAAATCTTCAAGATATAAAACAAAATGATCTTTTGTAAAATAAATTTTAAAGCAAAACTTACAAAAAACATCCAAAACCATGCTGAGCAATGTAATAAACTTGCGAGTAGCTTATAAAATGTATAAAAGGGGTCAAAACCATCGCAATCTCACGGCAGTTCATAACTTTTTGATTTATTGGCTAATTTGTTTTAATTTGCATGATCTCATATATATATAAATATATATGTATGTATATATATATATACATATATATATATATATATATATATGTATGTATATATATATATATATATATATATATATATATATATATATATATATATATATATATATATATATTACATTATATCATATATTTTTAAGCAGCGGATGCCTTTCAAGCCGCAACCCAGTACTGGGAAACACCCATACACTCTCACATTTACACACACACTCATACATTACGGCCAAAGTAGTTCATCCAATTCACCTATAGCAAACTTCACACAGAAAGGCCAACTGGCCCAGCCGGGACTCGAACCAGTGACCTTCTTGATGTGATGCGACAGTGCTAACCACTGAGCCACCGTGCCATCCTTCATAGGTTTTCATACAAATTAATTTATACGAATTTGTACAAATTAGCCACTTTTCTGATAACACGTAAAACAGTTACGTTTCCTCGTGAGATCGGGCTGGTCAAAACAGTGACAGACATTTTAACGCAGAAACAGAACAACAAAAAAAGTACTTATGGCCACATCATGTCCTGTTTTTGGCTCTTTTACATGTTTTTGTTTGGTTTTGCCTTTATTATTTCACCCGAACCGAACCAGAAAGCAGAAAGACACCCATTTCCTTTTCTCTGTTTGTTTGGTGTACACCAGGGTTCAGTATCAGGTGCCGTTTACACTCATGCGTTTTGTTTTAATATGCAAATGTTTTGTTATGGTTACATCTGGCGTCCACGCTACTCTGATATTCTTGACCTGCGAAAACGAAAACACTGAAGACCTTGTTTTAGTCTACATCTCCACTAATCCGGATACATTTGAAAACGGTGCTTTCATCCAAAAATCGATCCTTGTCCACATTATTGTTTCGATTCTTTCCGTAATACACACTAAAACGACTGAAGTGATTTCGTTCATGTACTGCTCATGCGCACAGATGTAACACACCTTAACTTGCGTCATGTCTGCCTGCAGTTTATTTACTTTCTGTCTGTTTATACATGTAGCATGTACAAACTGACGTTAGTAGGTAATAAAGCTGTCAAAACAGACAGCATCCAAAACAACTGTTTTACATAGTCGGCAGCTAGCTCTCTACAACTCTCACATGGTCGCCCACTGACACTAAGCAGGGCTGCATCCGGTTAGTACACTGTGAAACAAAAAAAGTTGACAAACTTAAAATTAAGGCAACAAACTTGGACATTTTTGAGTTTACTGAACTTAAATAGAGTCGATGCAGTAATTATGATGAAAGTTACGTCAACTTAAAAACGTCCTCAAGTTCGTTACCTTAGAATTTTAAGTTGATTCATTCATTCATTTTCTTTTCGGTTAGTCCCTTTATTAATCCAGGGTTGCCTTAGCCAAATGAACAGTCAACTTATCCAGCATTTGTTGTACACAGCGGATGCCCTTCCAGCTGCAACCTATCTATGGGAAACATCCATACACTCTCATTCAAACTCATACACTATGGACAATTTAGCCTACCTAATTCAGACGCATGTCTTTGGACTGTGAGAGAAACCAGAGAATCCGGAGGAAACCCACCCGAACAAGGGGAAAACACGCAAACTCCACACAAAAATGCCTACTGACCCAGCCGAGGCTTCTTGCTGTGAGACGGCAGCACTACCTACTGAGTTGAATCAACTTTGTTGATTTTTCCAGTGTACTTGGATGGGAGACCGCACAGGAAAATTTGGTTGCTGCCGGAAGTGGTGTTAGAGAAGCCAGCAGGGGATGCTCAACCTGTGTGGGTCCCAACGCTCCAGTATATTGATGTGGACTCTATACTACTCAGTGAGCGCAGTGTTTTGGATGAGACGTTAAACCGAGATCCTGACTCTCTGTGATCGTTAAAAATCCCAGGATGTCCTTTGAAAAAGAGTAGGGGTTTAGCATCAAGCATCCTGGCCAATCTTGCTCACTGGCCCCTGTCCATCATGGCCTCCTAACCATCCCCATACCATAATTAGCTTTATCACTCAGTCTCCTCTCCCCCAATCAGCTGGTGTGTGATCTGGTGCAATATGAGTACGGCCACGTCATCCAGGTGGATGTGTAAATCGCTTTGAGTGTCTAGAAAAGCGCTATATAAAATGTAAAGAATTAATGTCGTCCACCATGCTAGCTGAATATGTCATACGTCTAAAATGCGTCATCGTTTCCGAAAGCCTTTGTTTTCACCGTTCACACTGCATCACCTGCATTTACCCACTATAGACAGCATTTTCAAGAAGATACACTTTTTTGTTCCCAAAAAATGCACTGTGGAAGGACAGCCAATATAGAGAGAGAAAAATATGTATTTTTAAACTAAAATGTATTAAGACTGATTTATACTTCTGCTTCGAGTAATCTGCATGACCCAGGGCCCCTGCCTTGCGCATATCAGTGCATTTATACTTCTGGGTGCTGTTTGTGTTGCTCTGCAATATTTCTTCCGAACCGCTAGCTGGCAGTAGGTTTTTATGTTCCTCTGTGTCGAGTTTCTTCGCGAGTGTTTTGTTTTATCTGGACACTACCTCAATGAACAGGAAGCTGAAACTCACTCATTCAGAGGCGGGAACTGGCGGACGAGTAATAACTTTAATCATAAGGGAAACACAAATCAAAAGTTTCCAACTGGAGCTCCTTTACGGTAGAGTTTGGACTAAATTTTGAATCCCGCTCCCGCAAGGTTTTATCCCGAACCCGACCGCTCCCGCTTATATTCAGCATTTGTTGTCCTGCTGCCCAACCCGCGCCGTTTTCTACCCGCCACGCCCAATCCCGCTAAAGAGCGGGGGGAGAACAAAACCGAAAACCACCCAGCTATACAGAGTCCAGACAGCCTATAACAAGCTGTCTGTATAAACACACACACACACACACATATGCACCAAGCACACACACACAGACAAAGCTCCCTCTCTCATTCCCACGCAAACACCCAAGCACAAACACACACACACAACAAAAAAGCTATACACAGCATCACACTATCTCATTCACACACATACATACGTGTGCTCACTCAAATCGGGAGCGATACTGCTAGACGGCCCGCTCCCGTCCAAAATTCAACCAGTTACCGACCGCTCCCATTCTATTCGGAAATGTATTCCCACGGCGCAGAAATCTGGTCGGCAGACCTCTACTTCACAGGACCCGACACGTGTAAACACTCACTCCATCGGGCTCACGGTTCTTAGCACCGCCCACACTCATCACACAGCTACCAAGCAGACCCATCACAGAGCTTGCGCTTCACGTCGATGCGCCATGTAGCTACAAATTTTGAGTGGTGCACAACAGCATCAGCCACAGCGATGCAACTGGACGAAGGCTGCACCAGACCATATGCATGAGCTTAACGCAGAAGTATAAATCAGCCTTTAGTGTGGACATGGTCTTAATTCACAAATGCTGGTGTATCAGAATAGATTTACTGAAAGAAAAACCTTTGAAATCAGAGGCATGGTTATCCACAGTCCTCTCTGATTGGCATTTTAAACAATTGTGTATCATTCCCTGATTCATCAAGCCATTCTCATACAAAAATTACACAAGTGGTGGACTGCAAGCACAGACACCAGCAAAATATGCACATGCCCAGTAAGCATAAATGGCCACATATCATGCATTTTAGGCTGTATAGTGTGGACAGAGATCATTTTTCTGAAACACAATAAAAACATCAACGCATTAGTGTAAACAGCACCTCAGATAGTAGCGTTCACAATCGAACCACGAGACTTCGATAGCCAAGTGTTGACACACCACTGCATGGGCAAATCTCACACTAAAAGACTATTTTGTGTACATTTAGAGACCTATAAATAAAACACAGTCTTACATTCTCCTTTCACACCATAATATTCTTCTTCTCTAGTTTCTCTCTCTCGTTAGAAGAGCTCAGGAAAGCCGCCTGGAAGCGATGATGTGTTCTATAGCTGGGAAACACAAACAGAACAAAAGAAATATGATCATGTTTGTTTTTAACTGATGGTGCAGTCACAATTGAAGGCACAATTATTAACCATCCAGTGAAATTTACATTCTCTTTAAATATTTCCCAAGTGATTTCCTAGAGCAAGGACATTTCATTGTATTTCCTATTCTTTTTTTTTCAGTTTGGCTAGAATAAGGCCGTACTCACACTATGTACAGTTGACTCGAACCGGGCCAAAGCACGCTTGTCCCCCCTCCCGTCTCCCCCGACGGCCCGCACTCACACCACAATTGGGCCTCGGCACGCTTACGTCATCACTGCTGCGCTGTTCAGTGAGAAGCGCTGTCACTCAGCAGCACAGTGGGGATTTCGCTAGTTATATCGTTTCAGTCGTTTGATATGCAGTGACATGCAGTCAGATATTTTGCCAAACAGTCCTTAGGGATGCAGTGACACGGAGTCAGATATTTCGCCGAACAGATCCGCCACTTTTGCCGCTCATAAACAATCATAAAGCCTTCGTGCTGCAGGTATTAGGAGGTCTGCTGTAGGTGCAGCTGTGGTGCAGTGAGGGGTTTGCGTATTTGATAAGCTACGGCAGTTTGCGTTTGAATGATTAATAAATCCATATGAAACAGTCCCTTAAACACGTTTTGCACTCACACTACAAACGTACCGCGTGAAAGCCCAAGTGAACTGCGCTCAGGCCCACCTCTTCCAACCGGGCCAGGGCCAGCCAAGTGAACCATGCCTGAGCCCGATTCAGGTTTACTCAGGGTGCTCCGGTTTCCCCCACAGTCCAAACACATGCGCTATAGGTGAATTGAATAAACTAAATTGGCTGTAGTGTATAAGTGTGTGTGTGAGTGTGAGAGTGTATGGGTGTTTCCCAGTACCGGGTTGCAACTTGAAGGGCATTCGCTGCATAAAACATATGCTAGAATAGTTGGTGGTTCATTCCGCTGTGGCGACCTCTAAAATAGAGACTGAAGCTACGGTCACATTGTGTGTGCGAAATTCTGTCGTACGTCGCTGCGAAAAGGGGCGGGATTAAACAAGATTATTAGACAATAAAAAAAGCGAGCGATCGCTCCATGTTTTAAATTTTGTCCAGAGAGGTCATGTTTTGATCCTTGATTGGTCTCACGCAGTCAAGTGATGCGATTTCGCAGGTCAGAGTTCACGAAGCTCGAACTTTGCACCGCAGCGAACTGCGAAACTTAACGCATGACCCTGCATTTCCGGTCTGACGCATTCGCGTGCGTATGAATGGAAGTCTATGGGGAGAAAAGTCAAGTGTGACCACAGCTTAAGCCAAAGGACAATGAATGAATGAATTTTCAATGTATTTTCTATTTTATTTGATCTTTTTTTAACTGGTTTAACTGGTTTGACTGGAATGAAAGCAGTTTTTACATTTCTTTTAACGTCAAATTTGGCCCTTTAAGAAATGTTTTGATTGTCTATTGGGGGATGGAAGTTGGATATTGGGGGTGGTGGTTGGTCTATTTCTACTACTACCTACTACTCCCGCATCTGCCACCGGCGCAGAAATCAACTGGGCTGTAACATGTTGCCAGATTGAGGTAAAAAAATACTTTGAAATTTGAATAATTCGTCAGTTGTGTGAGGTGATGAGCTTCGCACAAGATCTGGCAACTTGACAAGCATGGGAAGAAGTGATTTATTCTTTAAAACTACTGTATATTGGGCCATACAAATCAAAGGAGTTTATTCATTCATTCTTTTTTTTTCGGCTTAGTCACTTTATTAATCAATGGTCGCCACAGTGGAATGAACCGCCAACTTATCCAGCATATGTTCCATGAAGCGGATGCCCTTCCAGCCACAACCCAACCCTGGGAAACACTCATACACTCTTGCCATGGCCAATTTAGCTTATTCAATTCACCTAAAGCACATGTGTTTGGACTGTGGGGGAAACTGGAGCACCTGGAGGAAACCCATGCCAACACGGGGAGAACATGCAAACTCCACACAGAAATGCCAACTGACCCAGTCGAGGCTCAAACCAGCGACCTTCTTGCTGTGCAGTGTTCGTGCTACCCACTGCGCCACCATGAACCCCTACAGGAGTTTAGAGGAGTGAATTACTGGAGTGTTGCCAGGTATGGTCTTATTAACAGAACTTTAACCTAACAATTAACCTAGTTAAGCCTTTAAATATCGCTTTAATCTGAATACTAGTATCTTGAAAAATAACTAGTAAAATATTATGTGCTGTCATCATGCTAACCACTGAGCCATCGTGCCACTCCACATTTGATAAATATTTTATAAAGAAGTCAAATTCCACAGGAGAGCTAAGTACTATGACTTACTGCAGCCACAAAAGCTGCCTGCTATAAGCCAGGCTTGTTTGTTGTGTGAGAGATGAATGAATGTGTGTGGCTGCACTTTTAGCATTTTCTTATTTGCTGTACTTACTGGACGCAGACCATGATGAGGATGGCTAAGCAGCTGATGACTGACAGCACGACAGCCATGATGACAAGGGCGGCGTGTGTGGTTTCAGAGCTGCTCTCATCTCGAGATGTCTCCAGAAGCTGGATGCCACAGCGCTCACCATCATAACCTCGTCTACACCTGAAACAATCAGACATTGCGAAATTTACCACAGCATTTTCCCACAAATGCATTAATAGTACTGGTTGTCAAAAGTTATTTAATTAATTGTTTAATTTCATTCATTAAATAATTTGTCTTCAGGTTAGTCTCTATATCAGTGGCCGCCACAGTGGAATGAACCGAAAACTATTCTAGCATATGTTTTATGCAGCGGATGCCCTTTCAGCTGCAACCCAGTAATTTGAATTTCTTAATTTAAAAGGATTAGTTAATTAATTAATTAAAAATCAATTAATTAAATAAATAATTAATAATAGCTAATTAAAGAAATAATTAAATTCCATAATAATAATAATAATAATAATGATTGACAATTTCGGCGCAATAGCCCAGTTGTTAGCACGCCGACATTGGTAACACTTCAGAGCATCTCAAGTTCGTATCCCAGCTCGTATCCCAGCAAAGGACATTTCCCGACCCTACACCCATCTCTCTCTCCCACTTCGCTTCCAGTCTGAATACTGTCCTATCTAAAAAAAGGGCAAAAATAAATAAAAAACTAATAATAATACTAATTAACAAAACAATAAATTAAAGAAATAATTAAACAATAATAATTAATTAAACAAATAATTTAATGTAATAATTGTACTGGACGGTTGTTTAAAATTGTATTAACTGATTACTTAATTTTTTATAATTAATTAGAAAACTAATAATAATTAAAGAAATTATTAATTTAAGAAATTATTTATCAGAAATAAAAAATCAAAACTATTCATTCATTCATTTTCTTGTCGGCTTAGTTCCTTTATTAATCCGGGGTCGCCACAGCGGAATGAACCGCCAACTTATCCACAAGTTTTTTTTCAGTGTCACAGGATTCTTCAGAAATTATTCTAATATGTTAGCTTAGTGCATTATATTTATATATTTATTCTATTTACATTAGAATAATTTGTTAATTCTATTATTATAATTATGTTGTTGGTGTCCTGAGGGAAAAGCCTCTTGCTGACACCGGACAACAGTTCATCAAACTGGGCTCGGCTCAGTCGGAAGTACAGCTGAAAGCTTCCATCATCCAGGTGTAGTTTCTGGGTAAAGGGTTCACCTAATCATTTACTCTGCCTCTACCTGTTCCAGACCTGTTTGAGTTTCTTTTCTTTGTTGAACGCAAAAGATATTTTGAGGAATGTTTGAAACTAGTCATTTACATCTATTGTAGGAAAAATAAATATGGTAACACTTTATTTTGATGGTCCATTTGAGTATTAGTAGACTGTCTGCTAAATCTCTGTTGATACTGCTGCTAAACAGATGAACTAACAGAGCTGGGGGCACCTCATTATGGATTTAGTGGACTCAGGCATGGCTCCAAACAAATCAATGCTGTTTTTCAGTCTTCCTAAAGCACATAAACACAGCTATATCCTTTATAAAATCCATGTTAGCCATTTAGCGACTAAGCTAGAGTCACCTGGCAGACAGAAGCCCTGCCCATATCATGAATCTGCGTCTATTGTGAAGTGAATTTCAAGTAAAATGAAAAAGTTCATGGTCTATTTATGTGCAAATAGCGTGATTTATATGCGCGTACCACATCTGGTGTGAACACAGTATAAAAGCCAGTTGCATCATGCCATAGCACATTTGCTATTTACAAGGTGGACTTTGTAAGTGGAAAAACTGAACGCTTCACTAGCGAGAAAACAGTTAAACAGAGCATCTGCAGCGCGAGGATAAAGAACAAGCCTTCTCCATTCTGCCTCTTTATTCCTTTACCTTCGTGGAGTGAGGAAACGGTGGAAACTCACTCCACTGAAAACATCCATTAGCCTGCATATTTAATTTTGTTTGTTAAGTGCAAAGATTTTTTTCGAAACTATTACTTAATTCAGTTTTAATTTCCAGCGAACGAATAAATGAAAAATAATAACGAAGTGTGGTCAAAAAACTGAGTTATATCCAAACACACGTCCTGTTCTTGTGCCCCATATGGTGATGCAGACGTCTCCAAAACCCAACAGGTGGACAAATCTAAACTTGCTTTTATTAAAACAAATATAAATATGCATATAATAAATAATACTGCTGATAATAATAACATTATACTAATGCAAATTGTCATGAATAAACTGAAAAAAGCACCCCAGGGCGAAGAAGGCAAAGCGGTTTTTATATTTATGTAGAAAGTAATAGTTATTATAATATTTTAATCCTTTAATGCTTTTCATATGTAAAGATGTGTACTTCTGTACATCCTGTGTGTATTAAGCAATGTGTAAGCATTAGTGATGGGAAGTTCGGATCATTTTACTGACTCGGATCTTTGAGTCTCGTTCATCGAGATGAACGAATCTTTTTTCAAGTCATTTCGTTCATTTGGTTCAATTTGCCAAAATATTACTAAAATGTTATGAATTGCTTCCAAACACATCTACAACTAGCCCAAGAGATTGATCACTCGACACATAAGTCCTAACTAGAATACAATAAGAAGGAGAAAATAATAATTCAATGTTTACCTGTTCTTTTGTCTATGAAGGTATTGTTGTCTCTTTGCTCAGCTTACCTCTTCACATCTTCAAATGTCAGTGGTTCGTTCACGTTACACTGACAGTCACATATAATCTTAACCAATGTACACAGTCTGAGTCGATAGGAACCATGATATTTAGTTCACCTTTCGAGTCTTCTGGTTCTTGAGTTGTTCGTTCATCATGTGACAGAATGACTCAAACCTGAGGACTCGAGAGATTAACGGATAAATTTTTTTTCTGGCCCTAAACGCATATGATTGGCCCGTGATGAACAAAAGACTCAGACCCGATAGAGGACTTGAGAGTTAAACGGTTCAATTCTTTTTACGGCTCTAAACACATATGATTGGTCTGTGAGGAACGAATGACTCCTGATAGAGGACTCGAGAGATGAACGGATCAATTCTTTTTCTGGCTCTAAACGCATATGATTGGCCCGTGATGAACAAAAGACTCAGACCCGATAGAGGACTTGAGAGTTAAACGGTTCAATTCTTTTTACGGCTCTAAACACATATGATTGGTCTGTGAGGAACGAATGACTCAGACCCGAGAGAGGACTCGAGAGTTGAAAGGATCAATTCTTTTTCCGGCTCTAAACGCATATGATTTGTCCATGAGGAACGAATGACTCCTGATAGAGGACTCTAGAGATGAACGGATCAATTCTTTTTCTGGCTCTAAACGCATATGATTGGCCTGTGATGAACGAATGACTCAGACCCGATAGAGGACTCGAGAGTTAAACGGTTCAATTCTTTTTATGGCTCTTAACGCATATGATTGGCTTCTGCCTTTCAGCAATGAATGACTCAAATGACTTGAAATGATCCATACCACCTGCACAAATGTGCGCACGCACGGATGAACGAATCAATCTGAGAGCACTCGTAGTTCCCGAGTCATACTAAAGATTCGTTCAAAATGAATGAATCGTTCATGAACGACCCATCACTAGTAAGCATTTGGACGTGCTCTGCGCTGGACTTTAGACCAGGTTAATGTTGGTAAATAGCGTGGTCTATTTTATTTCTTCAAATTAGCAACATGCCAACAATGCGCCTTAACACACCTCCTTTATAGACCAGCACACCCATGAGTCCACAAAGTGGCGCAAATGGATTTGCTATTTAAAAACATGGTGCAAAATTTGAAATTTATGGTTGCACTGGTCTGAAAATAGCACAAAAAACATGCCATACACGTCTTGCGCCTTATAGCGCCGGGTGTATGATAGTGCCCTTCATGTGTCAGCTGAGATTACATCCAACATCGGATAATAATGCACATTTCAAAGCACTTCCTTTAAATGTAAAACTTTTGACCACCTCTGTCATTGAATAGAATTGAGCCAGAGTAATGTTCACTCACACACACACGGGTTCGCTCAGGCCGTGCAGGTATGTGCAGTGGCCGTGGATGCAGTAATCTACATGAGAGGTCAGGCAGGGGTCAGCGGTGGTGCTGCGGCTCCGGTGACTGGACGTGTGGTTGGGCTGAACAGGAGTGATGTTTTTATTCCTTTTTCTTCCTTTGTTCTTCTTGCGTCCGGAGCGCTTGTGGTTCTGCTCGTCTCCTTTACTGGCTTGGGTTACTGAAAGATGCAAGATGTGTGTGAGAACATTTGTTTACACTTGCATTATTATCAAAAATAAAAAACGTCTGCACCATTTACTCACACTCGTATGGTTGTGAACTTTTATTACACTTATCACACTATTAACAAATGAAACTAAAATTAAGACTATTAGATCGATAAACTACTAATTATCTGCTTATTAATAGTTAGTAAGGTAGAAGTAGGGTTTAGGTTTTGGGTAGGATTAGGGAATGGCGACACAGTGGCTTAGTGGTTAGCGATGTCACTGTGCACGCTCCTGCTTGATGCGAACTCGCAGGGTCTGTGCGGGCTTGAAGACGCACTCTCTTGTACTGTTTGTCTTTTGTTCTGTCGGCATCGCGGTGTTTCATTCTCAGCGTCTCCATCTTGTTGGTTTCTGTTTTGGTTGGCGCTGAGATGAAACATGCGCATTGCATATGTGTGAGAGCACGATGAGGTGTTTTCATCTATCGTGTGCTCGTGTCTTGCGTCTGTTGTCTAAGCGCGTGGCTCTGCGTTTACATTGTGGTCGCGTGCTTTTGTTGTGTGCTTCAGTCTTGTATTTTATTGTGAACGCACGGTTAATAAGTTCTCTCATTGGCTGCGTGTTCTTGTCCCGTTTTATGTGAGCACATGGCTTGTGTTGTCTCTGTGTCATGTGCTCTCCCGTATATTGTCTAGTTCAGTGGTTCTCAAAGTGGGGGTCGGGACCCCCAGAGGGGTCGCGGGACAATGAAGGGGGGTCCCCTGGTGATTTCCAAAAATCGATTTATTTTTATTAAACTTCAAGATTTACCATATTTTATTCATAACCTACTGAAGAGAAAAAATATATACTATATAGTTACTATAATAGCTTATATTTCTATTGCAGGGGTGCTCAACCCTGTTCCTGGAGATCTACCCTCCTACAGAGTTTAGCTCCAACCCTGATCAAATACACCTGAATCAATTAATAAGGACCTGAACAGCACTTGATAACTACAGGCAGGGTTGCAACTGAAATCTGCAGGAAGGTAGATCTCCAGGAACAGGGTTGAGCACCCCTGTTCTATTGGATTGTGACCCCTGGATACATTATATTAAATACACAGCAATAGCATCAGATGCAGCGAACTGATTTTATAACACCAGGTTGAACTTTCTGGTCCATTTACAGCACTGTATCCATTAAAAAACAGAAACGAAGAATAGACTTGGGTCTATGGTGTGTATGCACCATTGTATGCAAGGTTTCTGTATTTATAACCACCTCAGTTCAATTCAATTCAATTCAGCTTTATTTGTATAGCGCTTTTACAATGTAGATTGTGTCAAAGCAGCTTCACATAAATGGTCATAGTAACTGGAACATTGTGGTTCAGGTTTTAGTGTTTAAGTTCAGTTCAGTTCAGTTTAGCTCAGTTCAGTGTGATTTAATCATTACTGAGAGTTCAAACACTGAAGAGCAAATTCATCGATGCGTAGCTCTACCAATCCTGAACCATGCGAGGCAGTGGCGACAGCGGAGAGGGAAAAAAAAACCTCACCTGATGGGAGTGAAGAAAAAAAACCCTGAGGGAACCAGACTCAGTTGGGCACGACCATTTTAATTTCTCCGCTGGCCGAAAGTCTTGTGCAGAGCTTCATTCGCCGTGGTTGAGGCTGGAAGATGGCCTCAACGAAGACTCGTCTGTCCCTGGAGCGTCGCTGGAATCAGACTCATGTTCTCCACTCCCCACGACCATGAATTCAGAGGATATTGGGGGTCGCGAGTCACTGGCATTGTCATTTTGGGGGTCAGGGGCTGAAAAGTTTGGGAACCCCTGGTCTAGTTCAGGGATGGGCAAACTTGATCCTCGAGGGCCGGTGTCCCTGCAGAGTTTTGTTCCAACACTAGTCAAACACACCTGAACATGCTAATCAGTGTCTTTAAGATCACAAGAAATCTATAAGCAGGTTGGTTTGATTGGAGGGTTGGAGCTAAACTGTGCAGGACACCGGCCCTCCAGGACCGAGTTTGCCCACCCCTGGTCTAGTTCCACCCTCCATTATTAGTTATTTACATGTATGTTCATCAGTTTGTGTGTTAATTTACTTCTGCTTATATTCTCCTCATGTCTGCTGTCCTGTGCCAGTTCGTCGTCTATACTTTCCTGTGTTCGTGTTCCAGTCCTGTCCTGCCAGCCCAGCCAAGTTTGTTTACCCTTTTGTGTTATAATTATGTTTTCCCCCCTCGGGGTGGTTTTTGTTGTCCTTTTTGTTTTATTTTAATTTATAATATATCATCTTATGTTGCATTTGAGTCCTCGCTCCCTCATGCTTCCTGAACCTTAACAGATATGTAGTTCATTTCTAAACCTTTCTGACTCATACATGACGTATTCGCAGGTTTGATGTGTGTTAGTAAATAAAGCCCAATTATCCCATTTATTATTTTCCTTTTGATTTTGGGATCAAACATGAACCAATCACGTGTTCCCTGCGAGATTCATCCAACTAGTGTTATGTGAATTAAAAATGTTAATGTTAATTTGAGATACTTTGTACTTAATAACAACCTAATTAAAATTTTAAAAGGCTTTGATTGGGTAGTAAATTAGGTTAATCCAAGAATAATGGACATCTTAGTGGTTTTTAAGTGTGTGTGTGTGTACCTTTAAAAAAAGGTGGCTCGATGAACATTCCTGATGGATCCTGATCATCGTCAGACTCTAAATCTTCCCCCACTGCGCTCTGAAGACCCTCCCCCGATGATGACATCACAGTCACATGATCCAGCACGGAAGTGTGAGTGGCAGCTGTAGAAATGGTAAACACTGCAGACAGAAACACACACACACACACACATACACACACACACACACACACACACACACACACGGTCTATTATATCACAGCAGAAATGTAGCAATGAGGAAAGCTTAGTTTCGGCACAGTTTGTGAATAATAACAGGATCAAAAGCTTCATTATATCACAATGACACATTAACCTCAATTAGAGAATATAAAGAGAGGTTGATCTGCTTAATGTTGGTAATGATGTCGAGTCATCCTGTAAACACCCCGTGCATATTGAACTGAACGAACGAGACAGAAAACATAATAAGCGAGTGGAAAACTTGAGGTCATGTGAGGTCACACTGCACCTGCTGCATTTACGACATGAAATCCGAGTCCTTTATGTGTGCTTTTCAAGTTTATTATATGTAGTCTGGGTTCTGATCAATGCAGCACTCCATTTAGGCTTAAATACACAATATAATCACATGATGTGGAAAACTCATTCATCTACTTTGTATAGCACTGCACCGAACACACAGAGACTTTTCCTCTTTAAAAGGAACTTATTATGAAAAAATGACTTTTATAAGGGGGTTTAAACACAGTTGTGTGGTGACAGTGTGTGAATATACCCAGCCTATAATGATAAAAAATTATTAATTATATTGTTTATAATCACACTTTATAAAAACAGTCTGCAGAAACACTTTGATTGACATTCTCTCTTTGTACGTGTCATCAGAGGGGGAAAGCCCCGCCCATAAGTGACCATCTCTCCCTCATTAGCATGAACAGCCCTGAGTGAAAATTGTGTTTTTGATTGTCAGGTTGTTGTAGGCCTAGTTATAATAATATTTTTACATGATCAAACTAGTGTTACTTTCTCCGCTTCAGTAATGTCCAGCTGGTTAATTCATGCTCGTGCAAAGGATGAGACGGACAAAAGTAATCAATGCATGCCCTTCTTTTACTTATTTTCGTGTTGTCCGGTTTACAGCTCCCGGGTGGAATAACTCGAGTGAACATAAAAGAAAGCCGAATTAAACTTTCTTTCTCTGCTTCAGCTGCACAGCAAACATCGAGCTTACATCATCCATCATGCGTGTTGAACTACACTACCCACAATACACTTCGCTGTGGACTACAACTCCCGTAAACAGCAGTCTTACGCCTGTTTCACACCGCAAGCGTCAGCGGCGCGTGAGCAGAGCGTGAGCAGCGCGTATGTCGAGCAGTAGCAGCACGCAGGCGTTTGCCTTTCACACCAGCTGCGTCTGCAGCGCGCAGCTCTTCGGCAGCTGCTGCTGAGATCAACCTATCTCTGTCTATTCTATCTAGTTACCCATGTCTCTATATACAAATACACTTTTTAAACTTTTCATCTGTACCAAGCCCCCTCCTATGCTGTTTCATTAACCTGCAAATGTTTATTTTACAAATTTTATAGATCAAATAGTACTGTATGCTTCTCAAGCTAACTTATATGAGAATTGTCTACAGTCAGAAGACAATCGCCTGTGATATCATGTCATTTGTTTTTTGATTATCAGGTTGCTGTAGACCTAGTTATAATCATATTTATACAATATAGTTATAATGATATTTATACATGATCAAACTAGTGTTACTTTCTCCGCTTCAGTGATGTCCAGCGGCAGAATAACAGCTCGTTAATTCATGCTCGTGCAGATGATGAGACGGACAAAAGTAATTAATGCATGCCATTCTTTTACTTATTTTCGTGTTGTCAGATTCACAGTGCAAACAGCTCCCGGTAGGAATAACTCGAGTGAACATAAAACAAAGCCGATTGAAAACTTTCTTGCTCTGCTAGCTGCACAGAACACAGCGAGCTCACATAATCCAGCATGCGTGTCGCACTACACTACCCACAATACACTTCGCTATGGACTACAAATCCCGTAAATATTCCATTTCCCCTCTCCTACAACACTAGTGTGCAACTTAAGCAAAACTGATAGTAAAATTGTTTTACATTTGGTTTTGTAGTTCGGGCCTAAATAAATGTTTGTTGCCGTTTTTAATTGTTTTAAGTTCATTTGAATGACTATATATAAACCATTTGACATTATTAACGCATTTATTGGGTTAAATTGTTAGTTTTTATTGTCATTCAATGAGTTTTGGTCATTCTCAATGCACTGTCACTTTAATTGAGCGTGAGCAGCGCGTCAAAAATAGACCCAGCGCCGAAACTATCGCTGCACTGCTGCTTCGGCGACGCTCACGCCTCGCTCTGACGCGCTGCTGCTGCGTGCGGTATGAAAGCTCTAATCTGTTAACATGGACGCCGAAAACACACGCGCTGCTCACGCTCTGCTCACGCGCCGCTGACGCTTGCGGTGTGAAACAGGCGTTACCGTACGTTCACACCGAAAGCAGCGAGAGCGTCAAAGTAGCCGGAAGTCATTCATTTTCAATGAGAGCCGGCGGCGATAGGCGGCGAGGAGCAGCGCAGCGCGTCTTCGCCAGCATGAGCGTCTAGGAGAGTTGAAATGAAGTCAACTTTATGTTAATGAGCTATGACGTGGTTCGGCGGCAAGCAATCAGAATGAAGACGTCCACCGCTTGACAGCAGTTCAGAGAACACAGACCTGTGAACTTTGGTTCCAACCACAGTTGTTCCCAAGGGTTTGATTATTGCGGTCGCCGGATTTCCAATTATTTACAATGTTTTCCTACAGAAACATACATTACATAAGTTACTGACGAGTTACTGATGTGCATTAATGTTATTTAAATTTATCTTAAAAAAGCGGGAATCTCACGCGATGTGAATGTACAAAACAGTACTGCTGCTTCAGGATATTTCAGACATATGGACACATATTGGATAAATAGAGCAAAGCCACACCACACGCAACTTGATCTTCCATTGTTGTATGAATTTGATAAGAAATGCGCAACATTTTCACGCTAGAAACATGTTTTATGCAGGAATGTAACTGATATGCTGCAACGGCTCCTTTAAATACGAGATCAATGTAGCGAGTTTTGACGCTCTCGCCACAGGAGCTGAAGGCAGACAGCGTTGTCGCCAGGGCGGCCAGAGCGACCTTGGACGCTCTCGCCGCTTTCGGTGTGAACGTACGGTTAAAGCGGCCGCTTCTATTTCCCCTCTCCTGCAACACTAGCGTGCAACTTAAGCAAGACTGATACTGAAATTGTTTTACATTTGGTTTTGTAGTTCGGGCCTAAATAAATGTGTTGCAGTTTTTAATCGTTTAAGTTCATTTGATTGACTATATAAACATCAGTTGACATTATTAATGCATTTGTTGGGTAAAATTGCTACTTTTTACTGTCATTCAATGTGTTTTGGTCATTATCAATGCACTGCCACTTTAATTGAGCGTGAGCAGCGTGGCAAAAATAGACCCAGCGCCAAAACTATTGCGGCACTGCTGCTTCAGCGACGCTCACGCCTCGCTCTGACTCGCTGCTGCTGCGTGTGGTGTGAAAGCTCTAATCTGTTAACATGGACGCCAAAAAAACACACACTGCTCACGCTCTGCTCAGGCACTGCTTGCGCTAGCGGTGTGAAACAGGTGTAAGCCTCATTCACAAGCGACTCACAGCGGCAAAGCAACAAAACGACCGTTCATTCTCAACAGAGAGCGAGTGATTTCTGACAACCTCCGTCTACACGAGCGACAGTGACCATTGGCGACCAGGTAGAGGTGTCGAGCGATGCGACAAAGCTGAGAATCCTTCAACTTTATGCAAATAAAGAAGGACTTTCTTGAGCGATAGCCAATAGGAACACCAGCAGAGCTCTTGTGATCCTCTCTCAGCTCACTCAGAGGCCGGTTGCATTCGTGCTGTATATACCTACACACCCCTGCGTTTGAAGCAGGTCGCCACCCAGAGTGACAGGTAACTACAAAGTCGCTGCTGGTCTAAATGGGGCATAAGAGATTTGAACCTCTATGCCACTATGGTCAAACATAGGCATTTATAGCTCCGCCCACTTTGGAAAATTTAGATAGAGACGATCTATCTCTCGTTAGCATAGACCAGTGGTCACCAAACTTGTTCCTGGAGGGCAGGTGTCCAACAGATTTTAGCTCCAACCCTAATCAAACACACCTGAACAAGCTAATCTAGCTCTTACTAGGTATACTTGAAACATCCAGGCAGGTGTGTTGAGGCAAGATGGAGCTAAACCCTGCAGGGACACCGGCCCTCCAGGACCAGGATTGGTGACCCCTGGCATAGCCATTACAGTTCTGAATCTGCTGCTATCGTCACACATAATTGTTCTTGAGGTAGGTTAAGGCCCAATCCTAATTCTATTTTTGTACCCCTACCCCTTTCCCATGGCCCTTAAAACAGAGTGTGAAACGGAAGGGCTTCAAAATTTACCCCTAGGAAATGGGACAGCACTACAGCACCTGAGCACGTCATCATATGTCATCGCGATCTCTTGCTTCATATGAGATTAGACAACGGTGACAGCTGTAGTTATTCCAGTTGTGCTATTTTTTGGTATTTATCTACAGGAATTCACTGAAGGCAACAGTATCATGTTATCGTAACAATCTAACGTGGTGATAAGATCATAACTGTACTGTGCATTGACACAGTGGCCATATTCATCCATGTAAACACACCAAAACAACACTAACATTATAGCAGACACTGTAAAAGCCCATTTCCAGCCTCTAGACTTTACAGACAGTGTATTCGAGTGTCATCGAGCATCAGAATGTTGTGGGACTGCTGTACAGGAGTTATTATTAGGGATTACAGAACCAAATTTAGCGTTTTTGATGTTTTGTTTTAATGTGTTTTACCATCATGCTTTTAAAAAAACAATGAGTGCGTGTTGCATTAAAACATGTGCTATACTATACAATACTAATTTGTGAATCTCCTTAATTCCGTCTGCAACTATCCTGCAGTTGTGGCTGGTGTATTCTGGGAAATTTTCTTACCCCTTGGTTTCGAGTGTGGTCCTGAAAAATCTCTGTTCGAAGTGCTATCTAGCTTTCAACCTAAAGAAAATTGGGAC